GCCTTGCCTCTCCCCACGTGCCTGACCCACCTCCTCCTTCATCTCTGCAAACAAATGCTCTCTTCCCCTAGCAAGCTCCTATTCATCCTCCACAGCCCAGCTCCCAAATCCCCTCTGCGAAGTACCCTTTCACCCCTCGGGTATCATCCTCATCCCCTGCTCTGGGCTGTGGCTCTTTGGATTGTTTCCCCTTCCAGCCTGATCGCTCGCTGAGGCCAGGATTCTGCCTGGAGAACACCCCCAGCACAAGTTTGGTTTGCAACTGGCCTGGAGAAATGTTTCGTGGATGGATGAATGAATGAATGACGATTGAGTGTTGATTCCCCGCTATTCTCCTGCTAATCACTTCCTACCCTCTCTCCCACCACTCTCTTTCACTTCCTTGATAACCACTTGCCCATACCTGAAAATGACCTATTTATTTATTTTTAACTTATTTATGTCTGTCTTTCCCCGCTGGTTGCTCAGTTATGTGAGGACAAAGGTCTTGCTTTCTCATTCACTGCTCCATCTCCAGCACCAGGCGCCTGGCGCATAGCGGGTGCTCAGGGCACATGCTGAGTGAATGAACGTGGAGCACTGAGAATCATTCATCTCTTGTGCTTGGCGCTGGGCTGCCCCTTTAGGACATGCCCTGGGAATAACAGTTATGATCCCCTCATCTTGCTGTATGTACTATTTTTAATCCCCATTTTTCAGGCGTGAAGAAACTAAGGCTCAGAGAGGTACAGCGATTTATCCAGTGCCCCATAATTGGCACTAAGACTGGCGTTGACAACCAAGCACCAAAGCCCTTGTTCTTAACTGCTTGGCTATTCTGTCTCTCAGAGGACCCATGACACCTGTGTACCTGGGACAGAGCCTGGATCCCGCCACTGAAAAATGAAAAGTCTGGATCTTTGCAAAATGTACTCTTTTGTCTTGTGTGAACCTCGGTAAGAAAAATTGCTGGCTGTTTCTCCATGGATGTTGTTATGGGTTGAACGGTGTCTCTCCCCCAGCCCCCAAATTCACATGTGGAAGTTAAGATGAAGTCCTACTTGGAGCAGAGCGGATTCCTAATCCAAAACGACTTAGTATCCTCACAAAATGGGGAAATTTGGAGAAAGACAGACATTTAGGAGGGTGGGGGGTACCATGTAAAGATGGAGACAGAGATCAGGATGATACATCCACATGCCAAGGAGTGCCAAAGATTGCCAGACAACCACCACCAGAAGCTGGGAGAGATGCAGGCAACAGATTATCCCTCATAGCCTCAGAAGGAACCAACTCTGCAGACACCTTGGTTATTAGACTTCCAGCCTCCAGAGCTGTGAGACGGTACATTTCTGTTGTTTGAGTCACTCAGTCTGTGGTCCTTTGTCATGGCAGCCCCAGGAAACTCTGGATGCCTCTGGGTATTTAAAAGTCTGCAGGGTGGCGCCTGGGTGGCTCAGTCGTTAGGCGTCTGCCTTTGGCTCAGGTCCTGATCCCAGGGTCCTAGGATCGAGCCCCACATCGGGCTCCCTGCTCAGCGGGAAGCCTGCTCCTCCCTCTCTCTCCCACTCCCCCTGCTTGTGTTCCCTCTCTTGCTGTGTCTCTCTCTGTCAAATAAAATCTTAAAAAAAAAAATAAAAATAAAAGTCTGCAGGGCTCATGGGGCATGTTATCGCCTGCGTCCTTCCCATGGTTGTGCTGAGGTGGGAGTGGAAAATGCAAAGGCCTCTGAGGCTTGCCTGTAGCTGCAAAAAAGAGCAGCATATCTGTCCCCCAGCAGGCTGGGGTGGGGGCTGCGGTGTCCCATCCCCGGTTACCCATTACTGCTTCTCAGCTCCATCTTCAGAGAAAACGCTCTCTGTTCAAATCACGGCGTGCCACCTGTCTCCTGAGGGACCCTGACTGGGAGGCCACCTTTGAAGGATGCAAAACTGGATTTTTCAAAGACAGCTACAAGTCCCGATTTTTATACCTAAAATCTCCAAATTTTTAAATTCTGGCAGAGACGTAAGAAACTTTAAAAACACTATACACACACGTCTGCGGCTGTGTTTGGCCCCTGCAAGTTCACGTCCCCTGCTTGGAGGCTGGTGAGCCAGTTACAGTTGATGTGCACGGTGAGCCAGCTGCTTGAACAGATACCCAGCAATCAATCAGGGTGAGGTACGTCCCTGAGGATTTCGGTTTTGAGGTCAAATGAACTTGCAGACCTCCATCACGCCTCCCTCTCCCCCCATCCCCAACAGAGAGAAGACAGAGGGGATGTCCTTGGGGCGTCCCCAGGCTGAAGAGGGAGAAATGGTAGAAGCATGACGAATGAGGCCTCCGGAAATGAAAGGCATGCATGAAGTCAGGAGGCTGACCGAGCTCGGGAGCTGGCGGCTGGGGCAAGTCTTTCCACTGCTTCCTGCCTCGGTTTACCCCTCCTGCACCGGGGCGTTCTGTTGCCTCTCCCCAGGCAGGTTCAGTGAGATGGGGTGGCTGAAATCTGGCCCAATACAGGGCTCAGGAGGGTTGGCTCCTCCTCCCAAAACCCCCTGGAGAGAATGTTTGGATTTTTGAGGGCAAGTCTCATGTTTTATTCCTAGACACAGTGGTACCACCCTCAGTGTTGCTGGGAGACCAAAGGGCATTAATCCATGTCAAGCACTTAGAAGAGCATGTAGGACTCAATAACGTTCAATAAATGCCAGTCATTATTATTACTACTACTACTACCACTACACTATTTAGTACATAAAAAATTGGTAATGTTATATATTATTAATTTATGAATATATAATACACATTATATATTATTAATTTATTACTGTATAAAGCATATTGCATATTATTGATTTATTAATATATAGTGCACATTATAATATATTATGTGATATAATATACAATATATGTATCTCTCCATATATACATATATATGTAGGTACGTATGTATATGTATACACATATGGAGAGAGATACATAGAGATATATAGTATATTATATAATATATATCATCTTATATATAATATATGTTATCATAATGTAGCTTGCAAGAACCTTATGCTGGAAGAGCTATTTTTCTCCATTTTTACAACATATGTTATAATATGCACATATATACATATACATATATAGACATGTACATATAGACAGATATATTACAAAGCCTGGCGCACAGTAGGTATTAAAAACTACCATCCAGTATTTAGCAAATTTAGGGTCCGCATTGCTTCTGTATCCCACGGTACCCAGCCTAGCCCTTGATACGTCGTCGATATTGAGGAAATGCTATTCTGACAACGCCAGCCCCCCCGCAACTGCTCTACCTGACTCCGTGCCAGGAGTAATTGTACTAGGAAAAAAAAATCCTGACGTCCCAGTTCTGCCCCTTCTGTGCTGAGCGATCTTTGGCTGGTCCCTTTCCCTCTCTGGGCCACAGAGTTCTCCACAAGCCGAAAGGTGGCGAGGCTGTGCCCCGTGGGGGGCTCTCACCCCAGGCCCGGCGCAGACCCCGCCCCGGAGCCTTACCGATGCTCTCTGTCTGCAGGTAGCACTTGTTGCCCAGGCAGTATCGCCACAGGCCCTGGTGGGCGAAGGACCCCGACAGCCGGTACTGCATCCAGTGGTCTGTCGCTGTGGCCACCACCAGAAGGATGGTCCCCACCCAGGCACAGAAGAGGCCGCCACCCATGAAGCTGTACATGGTGATCTGTGGAGACGGGGAGAGATGGGGTCAGGAGCTGGGCTCCCAGTTGAGGAAGGAGGAGCCGGGGACCTAGACTTCCAGATCCCAGGTGAGGAGGGGGCTAGGGGCTGGGACACCGGGTCCCTGGAAGAGGAAGGAGCTGGGCGCCTGGGCCCCTGGGTCCTGGGGTGGGGGGAGTTGGAGGCCTGGACTCCGGGTCCTAAGTGAGGAGGGGGCTAGGGGCTGGGACCCCACCAGGCCCCCAGGAGAAGAAGGAGCTGAAGGACAGACCCTTAGGTCGTGGGGGAGGAGGGGGCCTATAGGTCCAATGCCTGGTCCCTACCTGAGTGGCAGAGCCCGTCACAAGCCCTCTGTCTGCCTCGGCCCTTCTGTGCGGACTGAGCTGAGCCAGGTCGCTGGCCTCTCTGCTCCCTGGGTCCCCCAAATCCCTTAAGCCTCCCCACACAATGGCCCGTGGCCCAGCAGCTTCCAGCAGGCAAAAGTGCAATGGTGGCAGAGGCCCCAGATGGAATTCGCTGAAACAGGGATCCAAGTGCTCCCTCCCCGCAACCCCTGGCCCCACTGGCCTCTCTCTGTGACCCTCCCAACGACCCTACCACCCTTTCACAGGCCTTGCTCACAGCACCCGCTGGGTTAGCCTGAGCTGTGTAAGCACACACACACACAGAGACACAAGACATGGGGCCGGTCGTCCATTTATTGTTCAACCAGGGCTCCCCACACCCAAGGGCAGGAAATGGGGCCGAGGGGGTGGCAGGTGTCTGGGTATGTTGGGCCAATGGGGTTCTTTGCAGATGGGCCACGGGGCATGTCATGGTTGGGGCTGGGACCAGGAGGAGGATGGGATGGGGTTGGCTGGGGTCGAAGATGGGCTGGGTTTGGGGTCAAGTTTAGGAGGCAGTTAAGGATGAGCATTGGGTTGGCCCGAGGTAGGCAGAGGAGGAGGATGCAGAGCTGGGACTGAGGGTGGAGATGGGGAAGGAAATGGGAATGAGTGGGGTTGGGGATATGATACTGAGAGTGGGCACAAGACTGGGGCTCCAGAGGCAGGGGGGACGGGGTTGGGGCTGTCACTGTAGTTGGGGGTGGTGTTGGGAACGGGGAGACGCATGGCTTTGGGCACAGATACGAGGCTCGGGGCTTTTGCTGGCGTGGGATCCTAAATCAGCTCCGGTTTTCATGGGGTGACTCGCAGGACCCACTCCAGAGGCTGTGGTTTTGGGAGAAGAAACGTGGGAGCAAGATGTCTCTTGGGGTATCTCTGCCATAGCTGAGGTCACCCTGGGCTCCAGGAAAACCCTCCTGGCGACCCTGGGGGGTCCCTCTCGGGGGTCTGGGGAGCTGGGCCTCCAGGGTCCTAGTACTCTGTCTCCCAGTCTTCTGCTGCAGCAGGCGGCACGTCCTGGGGCGCCTCCTGCCCTCGGGCTTCCTTCCTCCCATCCTGGTCAGGCAGCGTTGGTGGTGATGCTGGCATCACCGGCGGAGTCTTGGGGCCAGCCCCAGACCCCCCCAGACAGCCCCTCTTGGCCCTTCCAGGTCTCCACTGCTGCTGGCCCTGGCCCCTGCCTGGCCTGCGCTGGACGCCCCAGCCCCCGCGTCCCCTGGATGGCCTTGTGGCCATGCCTGGCTGGGTGCAGCATGCCTGGGGGGTGCAGGGGCAGGAGGGCAAGGACTGTTGAAGGGTGTAGGCCCCCATCAGGGCACTGTGCAGGAGGTAGGAGAGGGCATCCAGACGGATGGGGACGGTGACAGAGGCCAAGCTCTCAGGGAGCCCCAGGTGGGGGGCTGGGTCTGGGGTGCCCAGGGGGAAAGGTGGCAAGGCTGGGAAAGGTGCAGGGGTCCACGGCTTGGTCCCTGGTGATGGCAGGGACAGGTTGTTCCTGGAATGACAAGAGGACAGGTCAGCGGGTCTCACCATCTCTCTGTCCTCCCTACTGCGGTCCAGCCCTTTTCCTGGGAGTCCATTCAGCTCTGCATCCACCTCTGACTTCCTTACCCACTTCTCTCAATCTCTCTCTCTCTCTCTCTCAGTCTCTTAATCTTTCTCTCATTTATTCTTCCCATCTCTCAGCCAGAACTTCAGCATCAGCCGGAACGAAATTCCAGCTCCAGGCTGCCTCGCTCAAGGTGTGTTTCCGGGCCAATCACTTCCCTGTGCTGAACCTTAATTTTTCAAACCAAAAGATGGCTCTTGGTGGTACCAAAGGTGCATAGGAAAGGCCTGGGTTTGACAATTATTATTATTATTTCTCCAGCTCTATGGCTGTTCTTGGTATCTTTGATTCTCCTGGCTCCTTCTTGAAATTTCTCCCTGTTCCAGGAATATCTGTTTCTAGCTGTGTCCCTGTTCCTAAAGTATCTCGCTCAGCTCTGTCAATAAGATCGCTGAGATTCTGTTTCTAACTGATGATACTTGAGACTTTTTTTTTTTTTTCGTTTTTTCTGATACTCTCTTTGAGTCGGTCCACTCTGTCTCTGTTTTTCTCTGTCCCCTTCCCTCTCTGGTCTCTGTCCTCCCCATGGGGAGGGTCTTGCGTCTCTTACCCCTCGGGCCCAGTCCCTTCCTCTTGCTGTTCCATCTTTACAGGGGTGTCTCAAGTCGCTTCTGGCACCTTCGACTCGGTTTCTCCAGGGCCCAGGGCGGCGCGGAGGGGTCTGAAAGAAAGTAGACGGGACTTTGTCCAGAGTGGGGCGTGGCTCTTGGGGTGTGCGGGGCCGCGGCAAAGTACGCTGGGCCCGTGGGATCTAATTCCTCGACCCCACGTATCTCAGGCTGCAGCGCCCATCTCCTCGAGACCCAGAGTCTGGTCCCAGAGCTCCTTCCATGCTCAGACTCAGCAATCCAGACCCCAGGCCCCCTCCTCCCTTGGACCCAGGAGTCAGGACCTCAGCCCCCTGCTCTATCTCCAGCTGTATTTCTGGCCATTTCCTCAGTGGGCCTGATGATGTTCTTTAGGACCAAAGGGATATTTAGATATGGCAATCAGGGCATCTGGATGCTCCTCAGGGCAGAGGGGAAAGTAGGTGGGCTGGAGTCAAGGCAGATGCTTAACCCACTGAGCCACCCAGGCACCCCTCTGTTGGAATACCTTTGTATTTGCAGAAAAGTTACAAAGATACTACAGAGTTCTCCTACAGTCCTCACCCAGCTTCCCCTAATGTTATCTTCTTACATTGTTGTGGAACCTCTGTTGCAGCTAAGAAACTAACATGACTATTGGCCAGACTCCAGACTTTATTTGGAATTTACCAGTTTTCACACTAAAGTCCTTCATTTTCTGTTCCAGAATCTGATGCAGGATGCCATTGATCACCACATCTCCTTTGTCTCCTCTGTTCGGCAGCAGCTTCTCAGTCTTTCCTGGCTTTTCCCAACCTTAACAATTTTGAGGAATACTACCCAGTTATTTTATAAAATAGAGGTCCATTTTAATTAATAATTCTAATTTATTTTTTTGAGAATTCTAATGTACTTAATCCTCACTTCACATATTATCAAACTGTGCCTCAGACTCTAAGTAAGTAGCTCAAGGTCACAGAGCTAGGAAGTGGCACAAGTGAAATTTGAACCTCAAATCTGTGCTCTTTATGGAGACACAAGTAGGAGCCAGATTATGTAGGACCTGGTAGGCTGCACTGAAGACTTTGGGGTTTTTTTGTTTTTTGGGGGTTTTTTTTGTGGTTGTTTTAACTTTTGAACATTGAGATGACTTGGAGCATTTGTAAACTGAGGTGTGACATAATTTGATTTATGTTTTAAGAAAAGCACTGTGTCAGCGGTTTGGAGAACAGGCTCTGGTGGAAAGCAAGAGTGGTCACAGCAAGTCCAGGGAGGATGCTGCTATCACTCCAGGCCAGGGGTGGTGGTGACTCCCAAGGTGGGTGGGGGTAGTGGGGATGGGAAGATGTGAAAGGATTTAGGATGTATTTTGGAAGAAGAACCATCAGAATTTGCTGTAGGGCTTCTGGGGGGTGATTCATGAGGAATCAAGGATAATGCAGAGTCTGGGATTCCTGGGTGGCTCAGTTGGTTAAGAATCTGCCTTTGGCTCAGGTCATGATCCCAGAGTCCTGGGACTGAGTCCCATGTGGGGCTCCTTGTTCAGCGGGGAGCCTGCTTCTCCTCTGCCTGCAGCTCCCCCTGCTCTTGCTCTCTGACAAATAAATCAATAAAATCTTAAAAAAAAAAAAAAAGATAACGCAAAGTTTTCGGCCAGAGCAGTGTTTTTTAATATGAATTTTTTTTTTAACGTAAGTTCACAACATCCCACTTTAAGGATGGAAAAGCCCAGATAGGGCCTTTTACCTTTTGAGTTCTCTGGAATCCAGGCCCTGTGCTGGATGTTGCTGGTGATTCAGACCTGTCACCTGCCCTCGAAGGAGTCTGTCTTGAGGGGTGGGGGCCAGACACAGAGATGAGCGATAACATTCCAGGGTGATCAGAGCTTGCGAACAGGAACAGGACAAGAGCTCCAAGCGGGGAAAATGCTGCCGAGGGCAAAGGGGTGAGTTTGGGAGCCAGGAGAACATTGTTGCCTGGAGGCGGGGCGGTTCTTTGGGGGTTTTTTGTTGTTGTTGTTGTTGTTTTTAGGAGAGGTAGCCTTTGGGCTAGGTCTAGAATGAGTGGGTATTTGATGTAGAAGAAATAGTGTGAGCAAAGGCCAGGTGGCTGGAATCGAAAGACTTTTTTTTTTTTTTAAAGATTTTATTTATTTGTCAGACACACAGAGAGAGAGCACAAGCAGGCAGAAAGGCAGGCAGAAGGAGAGAGAGAAACAGACTCTGAGCAGAGAGCCGCTGAGCAGACAGCCCGATGAAGGACTCAGTCCCAGGACCCCGGGATCATGATCTGAGCTGAAGGCAGATGCTTAACCAACAAGCCACCCAGGCATCCCTGGAATCGAAAGATTTTTATCACAAAGCGGAGGACTTCCTTTCCTGGCGAGTGTGATTAAGATTCGGGTCTCATCCATCCGTTACGTCGTATCCCAAAGAGGCAGGACAATTTTTTTTTTTTTAAGGCAGGACTATTTTGTCGGAAATGAGGGTTCGAATCCTAGCTCCGCTACTTACAAGCGAGTGACCTAAAGCAAGCCGCTTAAGCTTTTCGAATTCCCGCTTCTTCGCGATTTGGCGCTTCCTGCTCCATTCCGGCATAACGGAATTGCTTCCCGTTTTGTTCTGTCACTGTTTTCTCCTGTTTCTATGATCAAGGTCCGACGTCAACTTACGAAGGACCTGGCTCTTTAAGGCCCTCCTCCCACACTAGAGAGCGCAGGCGGGCTCTTGGGTCTCTAAGGGAATGTCCTTTATCCCTCTTCCAAAATGGACAGGCAAGTTCTGAATGTGACCAATCAACCCCTGAGTCGGGGGCAGCGAAACTTCCGATTCGCTGGGGAACTCTGGCGGCCGTGCGTTTGAGCTCCGCCCACCCCGCATTACGTCAGCAGCGTGGGACAGTCATCCTTGGCTCTGATTGGCGAGTGAGTTCGCGTTGCTTTCGAGTCCCCCTCCCGCCGACCGATCCGCGAACAAGCACCCTCGCTCTTTGATTGGCTACATTTCTGAGCGCGCACTCGCTCTCGCTCTCTGATTGGTTGTCGTCTCCCCGGATGGTCTCCGGACTTTCTTGCTACTGCGCCTAACCTGCGCGGATGCCGTTGTTAGGTTGTGTGGCAACTGCCGCGTCCGGCGAGACCCTTCCCAGGCCTGGGGATGCCGAGCGAAACTTGGAGGGGGGAATCCCGCGCAGGGGTCTCCTTCGCCCACCAGGGAGCCCCACTGCCTCATCCCCACCTTAGGATCCCCCTTCTTTTCACTGTTCCCCCCACGGGCCTCGGACAAAGTCCCAAGACTGGACCTTCAGGGCCTCCAGCGCCCCGGGCTCACGGATTCCCTTAAGTCCCCGCTTCCATCCCCCTCCAGGGGACCCTGGGATGCCTTTGGGGGCCCTGCTCTCCCCTGAGCCTTACCCACTCTTTCAACCCCTCCAACTTGGGGGCCCTCCCAAGTGCAGGGTAGGTGGCAGGGCCTCCCGGTCTTGGGGGCTCCTCTCACTGCGGCCCCTACCCTTACATCGTCCCTCTCCCCTGCGTCGCCCGCTCCCACTTCCCTTCCTTGCCTCCCTTGGAGAATCGCCCCACTCCTGCGGGCTCTGACCTCACTGCTTTCTTCCCAGCGCCTTAGACTTTGACCCAAGAGTTATACCTTCTTCCTAACAGAATCCTGCCGCCTGAGGAGTGGTTCCCCGCCCACAAGGTCGGGATTCCCACACCTGGTGCTTATGCTTCTCCTCCCCCAACTTCTAGGCCCTTCAGGAAGGGGATGGGACCTCCCCACCCTCAGGAGTCCGGTCTCCTCTCCTTCTAGCCCCTTTCTTCCCAGCCCACCATCCCCTTGCGAAGTCTTTCAGCCCTGCAAGTTTTAGGGGGACGGCCATACTGAAGGCTCCCACTCCTTCAAGAGACCCAGGCATCCTTCATATTCAGGGGGAGAGGGTCTCCAGGGACATCTCTGCCTTCAGACCCGTATTTCTTCCCCTTTTTTTCCCTATTCCTTAAGGCCCCCCTCACTGCCATTCTCCCCTCCCCCAACCCCATCTTTTCAGGTGTTTTACTGACACTTCTGAAATTCAGGTGGTCACCTGTAGGACACCCTCACACTTTCAAATCCCCCCCCCACCTGAGGGTCTTCTCTGCCAGCATCTCTGCTGGGTTCCCTCCCTTAGACATTCCACTGTCTCCCTAGGACCTCCCTCCTCACTGCTATCTCCTTTACACCCAGGATGCCCCAGGGTATCTTTCACGGTAAAGAGGGTCATCCCTGCCCTGGGAACCTCCCTCTTTCTTAGGGGCTCACCTCTCCTAGCCCCCTCCCTGCCCTGTCAAGAGGACTGTAAAATTCAGGGTCTCTCCCTTTGGAATTGCCCCTTCCCCTTTGACATTTGTTTGGGACAATCCTTTCCATTGTCATCTTTTTTCAGGGTTACGGGCATTCAGGTTGTCACCTGTGGAGCTTTCCCCACATTTAGAGAACTCCCACACAGCACCCTCCAACTCAGTGACTCAGAGCAGAAGCTTCTCGGTTCGGAGAGTGATCCTCAGGGCCTCCCTCAGCCACAGCGGTTTCCCCTCACCTGGGCTTCCTCCTACACACTCCCAGAAGACCCAGCATCTTCCCCCCATTCTTCCGACCGTCTCCCACAGTCACTGTCCTAAGATCCCCCTTTCCTCGGTTTCCCTATCATCTTGCTCACTCTCAGGCACACCTGGGTCTTCTTCAGTATCCAGGCCATCAATCTCAGGACCTCCTGTGCCTTTCCCCTTTCCCCTCACCTGGGCCTGCCTGTTCTTGCCTTCACACCTCCCCCAGAATTAACCTTGGGGCGCTCCCAAGGATCTTCTCCCCACACCGATCACACACAGAATTCCCTCTCTTGTCCGCTTAGCCTTGGGATTCTCAACCTTTGCACCCCTTTCCCAGCCTGGTCCAGACCCTAATTCACACCTTGGATTCCCAGTACCCTTGTCTCATACATGGGGAGGGCTTTCCTGCCCTGCGTTCAGGAGGAAGTAGAGGATCCAGATTGCTAGGCTCCCAATCAAACATGCTTAGCCCTTAGTCAGAAGTCACTGTTCAGGCCTGTGTCCCACATGGGGCCTTCGATGGGCACCTTTGCCCCCACTCCAGGGTGGCCAGACTGCTTGGCAAGAGGTTATTGGAGTGGAGGGGTCAGATTTGTGGGCTAGATCTGAAAGGAGTCCCCCTAATGTCATGTGGCTATGAACGATTTTCAGGCCACTTGAAAGTCAAGATTTGCTAGAAACATCTGCTAAAGTGGCAGTGGGAGTCTAGAGGCCCAAGGGTCCCAAGAGGGAGATCACTTAGACATGTTCCCTTGTATTATCTCATTTAAACTTTGTGATCATAATCTTTTAAAAAGTGCTCAATATGTTTTATTTTTAAATTCTTTTAATATAGGAAAATGAACTATTTTTGGTGTACAGTTCCAAATTTTGGACAAATGCATTTTGACAAATGTATAGCCATGTAACCACCACCACCATCAAGACACAAAATACTTCTATCATCCCCCTCAAATTCTCTTGCACTGCCCCTTTGTCATAATAACCTTAAAAAAAAAAAAAACAGCATCTTCCTGGAGGACAGTTTGGCCTCATCTAACAAAATTAAATGGCACAGCCCCTTAGACCCCTGCCAGGGGGTTACCTATGCAGGAATTAGTTACCCTCCACTTTTAAAAAAGATTTATTTATTTATTTATTTGAGGTGGATGAGGGGCAGAGGGAGTGGGAGAGAGAATCTCAAGCAGACTCCGCACTGAGAACAGCACCTGACTGAGGGTGACCCTGAGATCATGACCTGAGCCAAAATCAAGGGTCAATTGCTTAACCAACTGAGCCACCCAGGTGTCCCTAGATACCCCCTCCTCCCCCCTTACTGATCAATAAATAATGGCTCAGAGAAGTTACTCCTGTCATATTGGCAAACATGCAACAAACCAGCTAAGACTGAAACTCGTTTTGATTCCAGAGCTTTTTCTTCTTCTGCATGCTGCATTCCGGACTGATGATGATGATGATGTCATAGTGGGAGAAAATAACACATTTTTTGAAAACTTGGAGGTACTGGACTCTATTCCAAGTGCTTTTATCTAACTCACTCTCACAGCAACCCTAACAGGTCATTTTACAGATGAGGACAAAAAGGCACAGAGAGGTTAATGACTTGCCTAAGGTCAGAGGTGAATGTATGGCCTTTCTGAGCTGCTCTGGCTACCCTCTTTCTTAGGTTTTATGTTCTCTCGGAACCTTAAGGAAAATGAAGGGATTTTTGAGGTGACAAATTAGGTGGAAATCCACCAGTGGAGAATGAGGTCTACTGATAGCTTTTGGGAAAGAATGTTGAAAGCAGGCTCAGAGGGAACAGGGCAGGATACCTGTGATGTAGGGTAAAAAATGGTAGTCCAAAGCTGGTGTGTGTGTTGTACAATAAAGATTTTGTCAGCCCTTTGTTCCTGGCTCCTAGGAGGGAACCTCTAAACCCTTCTGAGCCACAGAAATGTCTTTGATATTTACAGTGGGCCCTGAGACCACACCTAAGTTTATGGTAACGGGGCGACTCACGGTGGGCCCCTAGGTGGTTTCAAGATGGGGGCTGTCCATGCCAGAAAGACCAGCCATGTCCTTAGGGCTTTGGAGCTTTGAGCCTTGTGACCCCCTGAGAGGGAAAAGGGACTGGGGACTAGGGACCGAGTTCAACCACAGCACGTGGCCGATGATTCAACCCATCATGGCTACATAAAAAAAACCCACAAAAACTCTGAACACCAAGGCTCAGGTGAGCTTCCTGGCTGGTGACACACATTGACGTGCTGAGAAGGCAATGCATCTTGAGGACACAGAAGCTTCACAATTGGGACCCTCCCTGACCTTCCCCTATGCATCTCATTTGGCTGGTACTAATCTGTGTCCTTTTTCTTTTTTAAGATTTTATTTATTTATTTGAGAGAGAGAGAGAGAGAAAGAGAACGAGTGGGGGCGGAGGGGCAGAGGGAGAGGGAGAAGCAGACTCCCCACTGAGCAGGGAGCCCAATGCAGGACTCGACCCCAGGACTATGGGATCATGATCTGAGCTGAAGGCAGACACTTAACTGACTGAGCCACCCAGGCTCATCTGTAACCTTGATCATACCCTTTTATAATGAAAAAACGTAAGAAAGAGTTTCCCTGAGTTCTGTGAGCTATTCTAGAAAATTACCAAACCCAACGAGAGGGTGGTGAGAACCCCCATTTATGGCTAGTCCGTCAGAAGGGCAGGTGGCATCTGAAGCAAGGGAGAGGGGCAACCCCGTGGGACTGAGCCGTCACCCTTGGGATCTGATGTCACCTCCAGGTAGATAATGTCAGAATGGAGTTAAATTGTCGGACACCCACCTGGTGTCAAAAAATGGCTCAATGTGTAGAAAACCCACACCCCTGGGGGCAGAAGTGAAATGTAGTAGATACGTGAGGGTAAAGGAGAAATGCACAGGGTGGGAGAGCAGGGCCACCACTCTCATGTCAAGAAGCAAAGGAGTCCAGAAAACCTCTCTGGAGCCACCCAAGTCCTCACACTTTTGCCTCATGAGAGAGCCAGTCTTTGGACACCTGCCACACAGGACACAGCCAAGGTTAGCTAGAGAAGCAGCTTCAGCCAACAAGAGGCCACTGTCGTGGCCAGTCGGGTCAAGAGTTAATTGTCCCCATGCCTGTCCCT